AAAGTCATAGCATCAAATCTAAGAAAAGCAATTTTCTTAGCACAACGTTACATGTGGGACGGATCTAGACAATCCACATGCTAGCCCGATTCAAACGGTGATCGGTAAAGGCATATCAAACCCGTTGATGGCTGGGGGTTTGCCAAAAATCCCATAAAATCTGTCATTCAGAAGAAATGCAGACAAATCACAAGAAAGAAGCAAATGTGGAGTTTCTATTAATAGGTCAAGTCAAAAGCATACAACAAAGAGCTCATTAGCCCGAAGGCAACTGACGGCTAAGAATATGAGACTTTAAGCTAAAAAGTCTATCTGCATAACTCTGCTCAAGTCCCGCCTGCAGATCTGCTCGGGCAGATTCCTCAGAACAGCTCAAGATCTCCGCAGCTTCACTCTTCAACTTCATCAATCCCTCCTGAGTGGATCCGAACTCCTCGAGTACCTGGTCACGGGAACGCTCTAGTCCGATCAAGTCATCTGCGATAAGAACGGCGGATTCCTCGGCACGCTTCAAGGCCTCCTTCAACCTAGTCGCTTCCTCGCGATTCGAGTCCAAGGAACGGAGTAACTCAGCTTTCTCCCTATCCATCCTCGCCATGTTAGCCATTAGATGCGCAAGGGAGCTCTCGCGTGACTGAAGCTCACGCCCGACGGAAGATCTCAGTTCACGCCACTGCTCCATCCTATGCTCTAACTCAGAGGATACGAAAGAAGAAGCCCCGGTAACCTCCAGTTCCTTCAACTCTCGTATCTCTGACTCCAGGGCAGCGAAATCAGCAGTGAAGGAATCAGCCAGTTCCGGGTATCCTTCTTCCCTCATCATCGTCATGTGGCGAGAGAAGGAACGCCGGAACTGATCGAAGCCGCCTCCTCGGTGGAGAAGCTTCTCGATCAAGCCATTATACCAGGCGGTGAAGAAGCTGAGGTCCGTACGGAAAGCCTCTCCGTCAGGATCAGTATCGGCCAAAAGGCTACGGACACGCTCGTGCAAAGAAGATCGAGATCCTACAAGCAACAACTTGGAAGCTCAGTGAACTATCGAATATGGAAAGGAAAGTCAAAAGGCAGGTTCCGAACATACCGACGCCAACGGATGTCCCATCGGGTTGAGAGCCGACAGGCTCCGGGACAGCAGCAGAAGAGGGTACGTCAGCCCCTGCAGACAGATTGCTCGCACCACTCGGCAGAGACGGGGAGGCACCACTGCTATGAGGACTTTCAACCCCGGGGACTGTAGCAGTATCAGGCTGAACGCCTGGTCCTACAGTGACATTCCTATGTTAACCAAATGGAAATTTGGACAAGTAAGGAGAATCGGGATAAGGAGGTCGTATACATACCTGCAATCCCCATGTCCTCAGATGCAGCCGGAATGCCAAGAGTCATAAGAGTATCGGCCCAAGCTGCTGGTCCTATGATGACACTCTCTTATTAGTCAAAATGAAAATTTAGACGAATAAGAAGAATTGGGATCTGCATACCTGTAGATCCATTATCCGCGGGCATTTGAGGGATGTCAGGAGTCATATGAGAATCAGTCCTAGCGGCTGGTCCTATGATTGCACTCATTAGTCAAAAGACAGATAAACATAGGAAAGTACAATATCCCTGAATCGTATACATACCTGCAAGCCCGTCGCTCTGAGGCAAACTGGATATGCCAGGGATAGATACCGGGCTAACTCCAATGGTAGACGCTGCGATAATCAATCATTCATTAGTCATATGAAATATCGGGCAAGAGGGAGAAAATCAGATATATACCGGTAGATGAATCGTTCCCGAAGAATGGTCTCTCGGTCCCTCTGGAAGTCTGCTCAGCCAGCATGTCAGCTAATAAGCCGGCATCCGGCTTCGAGAAGCTTGGCCCCTCCATCGCAACATCTGCAGGGTAACCCAAATGTTGAAGGATGAGGAAAGCTCAAACGAGAAATCTTCCTTCACCTTACATAAGGAAAATGACATTGGATGCGGATATACCTGAATAAGGGATTGTGGGCTCAACATTATTTATCTGCTCAAGATCGATGTTAAGGTCGATGCCCAAAGACCCATCGTGAAAAGCGTCGCACATTTGTTGCACAAAGCAATCCATGTTGTCAACGCCAGGGGACGCCGAACCCGGTGGGAGTTCGCCCTCCTCGAAGAAACCTGAAGCACAAAACATGGTCACAAATCCCCAAAAGGTAAACAACCTTGAAGCAAGAGCAATTGAATGTTACCTCCCCCTCCATCGGCAGTGCTCCCTAAGTCCACTCCACAGGGACGCTGATCGTCATGGGGCTTATGGGCGGTCTTCTTCCTCTTCGGGGCACCAACCCTCCGAGGACCAAAGGGTCGAACATGCGCAGGCCTATCACACGTTTCAACGTGTGTAGGAGCTGGTGGCTCATGATCATTGACTGCCCTACCTAAAGTGACAATAGCCATTTCAATGAAAAAGAGCTGTCATTTATGGAAAATGAAAATTAAAAGAGATAGGACAAACCAGTATCGAGATCCCCTCTGCCGGTATCTGCGTCCGCATACTCGTCCTCGGAGGTCTCGTCATCATCACCCGTAGGGAGAAGTTCTTCTTCGTCTGAGACAAGAGATTTGGCATGCCCTTTTCTCCGCTTCTGAGCAAGCTCAGCTCTGCGACCAGCCATCATAGCAGCCCGGACCGCGTACTCGGACTGCAACTCTGAGAGGCTCCTCACGCTGATGGACTCATATGCAGAAAGGAACCACTTGCAGCTGAGGAAAGTGATCAATGGCTTACGCCGGTACGAAGGAAGAGCAAAACGGGCTCCAGTACAGCCCACCATCGTCCATAGCCACGCTCGAACGCCATCAATCAATCCTCCCTCAACCCGCAGGCTGCGGCTCGGATTCCCGACATACAGTTGGTCATAGCCGAATTGTCGAGCAAAGCGGCAAGGGAGATAAGGCTCTATGTGGCACTGGTTCTTCACCCGAAGGACGAGATAGCCTACACGGATGTTCACTAACCACCGGAAGCAACCAGCGTCAAGAACGGTCCGGTCACTTCTAGGTTTCTCCTCATCAACCAGCACGTCGCCATAGCGACCTGAAAAGTGAGGGAAACACTTAAAGAACTCCCAACTCTTGCGGACCCGGAGCTCTCGCTGAACATCACTAAATTTGCTCCCAAACCATCTGCTCTGCTCCAACAATTGCATGAAGGGGACAGGGATGTCAACAACGCTGGGGGCCGACATCAAGTCGGGACGGTGAAGAACGAGCCACGCCATCAAATATGCGTAAGGGAGCTCAACCTTTGGGCAAACCAGCTCAGCTGATGGTTCAGAACCCATATGTGTAAAACTGCTAACCAGACCCCTGAGCCCGCAATGGATACTAGCAACCATTGCTGGGAGCAGGGAAAGCTCTCTCCCATAAGCCAGCTGAACTGCAGGGAAGAGCACCTCGATGGGTAGAGCGTCAGAAGGTTGGTGCGGGACGACACACTTCTTCAACCAAAGGGCAAGGTAGCCTGCTAATAGCGCCCGGGACCCTATAGACCTCTGTGCGCGGCGGAGAAAAGAGCGAAACTTTGTCCCCGCGGGAAAAGCCCCCTCAGCACTGCCGATAGTGTAGGAACGAACCTCAGCCTTTTCCAACAACTCATTAACGGCCGAAGGAGTCATCACGTCTAATTCATGAATGGGCGCACTAGAATCACCATCCAAGTTCTGAAACAAGTAGCTGGCAAACTGCTTCAAGCTGATCTGCCTCTTCCTTCTCGCTTGGGGAGAAGTTTGGATCAAGGAAGTGTAGTAGTGGCAAGTAAGATCCCAGAGTGTGTCATACATGTCCGGAGTATCTTTCTTCATACACTCCAGCTGCTGGTTCGTAGGGAAGTACTCCTGATACGGACAGTCCCCCATCGGAAGACCCGAAACATAATGCATCTCGTGCAAGGCCAACCCTAGCTCACCTCCGCTGGTCAGGAAGGTGTTGCTATCGGGCATATAAGTCTCCAGCAAAGCCAAGAAATGGCGACAGCTGACTGGGATGCCGTACATAGTAGCTCGTATGGGTGCATACAACCCACTGCTCTTCAGATCCCTCTCCCAGCGCGCCAAGACGAAACCAGTCATGCGCGCCCACCACCCTTTGGCTAGGGAGGAAGCCCAGCCATAACATCTGTACTCCGATGGGGGTAACTGTCTCCCAAGAAGAGCCAGACGGTTGCTCACAGTCGGAGCAGCAGCTGACACCTCGCCTGGGGGTGCAGTATCAAGACCCATGATCCCGGGTCGTAGACCACGCACGTCATGATACCCCTCAGAGCCAGGAGTCTTATGGTTAGTAGCATATCCGCATTGAACCCGATCAGCATCTTCAGTAAGATGCCAAGACATCTGTCTGTCCACGGCTTGCCCCTTCAAGTGACTGAAAGAATAGTGGCGTGGAATCGAAGGGATGTACAAACAAGCTCCCCCGTCGAGAGTTAGCCAATGCTCCTCTTCAAGAGTCAATATAGCGGGGTCCTCAACATGATCCCCGCAAACAATGGCGCCCTCCTTCCTGTATCGAACGGCAAGAATCATTTGGACGATCCCCATCGAACCGAGGAAGTGGGCTAACAGCCTGCCTAAGGGAAGCCGAAGAGAAAACCTCCCGACTACAGCCGGTGTTGGCGTGAGGAGGAAGGCTACCCGCGGGAAATTCCACTACAATAAAGCACAAGGGCGGAATCAGATAATCCATCTCGTAAGAAGAATGATAGACTCATCCACGGAAGAATTGGAGAGACGATTTTGAGTGACCTACACCGGAAGGACGGCATGCATTATCACGTGAATAACGTGGTAACGTACACCGACCTATAAGGTGTAAGACGACACAAAATCGCCCCAATATACCGGAAGACTTGAATTGGCTAAGCAAAACAAGTCTGAAACCTTACCCTCCGCGAGAGAGGTATCGGTTCTTCCTTCATGACCCGCAAAGAGGTCAATCAGGGATGCAAAACAAAATCTCTGCATAAATTCTCACAACCACCAGTCATCAGAAAAAGTGGTACAATTTACAACATAAGAGGAGGACGCTAACCTAAAGGAGCCTGAGTTATTTTCTACCATGTTGACCTTATGACTCCCTTCTTCACCCTTTCCGCCTACAGGAGTCTTGATAGGAGCTTTCTTTCGGTAGTAGCACTGAGTCGAAAGATGATTGGTTCTCCCACAGACATAGCAAAATTTAGTCTCAGACTTTTGGCTAAAAGGTTTGTGGTTTCTAGAGAGATTGGGATGTTGGTTAGGACGTTGAGAATGATTCTTTTTCTTGAAATTCTTGCCCTTGGGTTTGTGATTTGGGTTTCTAAAGTTCTTAGGCTTTTCTTCCACTAGGTTTACTTTTGCTTTCATTTCATTTTTTGGTTTGGAGTTTTGCCTATGTTGATCCTCTATCCTAATACCTTTGAGGGCTTGTACAAGAGTCAAGTCACCCTGTAGATGACGGAGATCTTTAGCAAAATCAGACCAAGAAGGAGGAAGTTTATCAATAAGACTAGATACCTTATATTCTTCAGAGAAAGTATTTCCTTTCGACTGAAGGTATCGGATGTAGTCTTGAAATTCATGAAGCTGATCATTGATGGGTTTACTATCTACCATAACAAACTTATTAAAGGAGGAGGAGGAGAAACGTTCTATACCAGCATCATCTAAACCATATTCAGACTCTAGTGCTACCCACAATTCTTTTGCATCCTTATACTCATAATAAATATCATACAATTTGTCTGAAAGAGCACTAAGGATTCGGTTGTAACAATGAAAGTTTATTTCCTCAGGAGATTTGGAAATTCCGGATGTTGTGGTAGGTGTGGAGGTAGGTTCAGCTTGTGATGATGAAGAGGGTGTAGGTGTTGATAAAGAAAAATCAGAGTCAATAGCAGAAATAAGTCCTAAAGTTGTAAGCCAATATTTTATCTGATTAGCCCACCGTTTGTAGTTCAAACCGGTGAACTTCTCAGGTTTGGCTGACTTAGATAGATCGGAACTAGCCATAAAGTCTGAAAATAAAATTGCTAGTCTTGGTAATTCAAATGATCTGAAAAGAACTTGTTTGTGAGATATAGACTTATAACAATGGTTCACAAAATTTAAAACTCACAAGAATGGATAAATATGAAGTATATGCACACTGACACTATTAAAGGTGCAGATATAAAATTGCTTTGTGGTTATGCAAAGTTCTAAATAAAAGTTAGCTGTAGCAAGTATTAATCTAACAAATAAACTTTGCAAATGAATATAGATTAGTAAAGCAATTGAATGATATGAAACAGTGAAGAATCAATGTGGTGGTAACTCAAATTAATTATTATTATTATTATTATTATTATTGTCTGGATAGTTTTCAAAGGCAACAGATACAAATAATGTGATTAAATATGAAATATGTCAATGACAAGCAAGAAATAATTTCGGCAAGCTATTTGAATCTATTTCTAAAGTTCTATATTAACCAGCAATAAAATCCAAAACTATCAAGAACTTGATCACTCAAATGTTGATCAAGGAAAACATACGCTGAATAAAATATATGCTCAAAGAGAAGATACTAGCATAATGAGCAAAACAAGCATGAACAAAGTGTTTTTTCTTGTTGAAAGAAATAAACGCTTAACAGAGAAATGTTATCGCTCTTTCACTCAGCAATCAAATAAATTATACAATTAGAGATTAGGAACATGCACCAAAAGTAATTATGATACTTATAAAGCACGTGAAGATATGCAGCAGAGAACAGAGACCACAATATTATTGAGGTTGCGAACAAATTATCAGATCCTTTGAAGAAAAATACTTTTGCAGCAGAAGTAAATATATAGAATTTATTGAAGGCGTCAAAAAATGCTTACAGATATCCAAACACCACTCAAGACGACATAGAAGAACAATATACACATCATCAAGCAACACATGACGGCGCGGCAGGACATAGTGCCGCGGCTAAGGCGCGGCAGGACATGGTGCCGCGGCTAAGGCGCGGCAGACCAAGGTGCCGCGGCTACCATGGTGCCGCGGCTAAGGCGCGGCAACCTATGGTGCCGCGGCTTAGCCGCTGCAACCTATGGTGCCGCGGCCATGATAAGAGGATACTGTGGCAGTTGTAAGGCAGTTATTCGATAATTTTTTAAAGTCCACGTGGCGGCGTATCAAAAATAGAACGTGTGCTGACGTGGACAAGCAGTTAAACCACGAAAAAGATGGTTAAAGGTCGTGGGAGAACGGTTTTAGGCACGATGGAACGTGCTGATAACCGCCTCTTTGGCCGCGGCAGCCTATACTGCCGCGCCAATGGCCGCGGCAGTGTAGACTGCAGCGGCCAAAGAACAGTTATCTGGTCGGTTATTTTGCCCCCGTTTCAACTGTGGTGCACCAAGACCCCTATAAATACCTCCCTAGGCACGAAAAAAAAGGGGGGGAAGTATTTCCAGAGCAGATTAGAGTAGAGAGCCTTGAGTTTTGGCGAATTAGAGCAAGAAAGAGAGTCTTCCTTCTTCACAAACATCCTCAAGAAGCTTTTGGCGATTCCTAGAGATCTAAGCTCAAACTTGATCTTTGGAAGAGTGAACATCTTACATTGATAAGATATTCGCTTCAAATTCTTACTTCGATAAACGAAGAAAGAATCATTAAACCCCTCACGGTTCAATCAGAATCTGTGATTTGGTGGTCCACGAGTCAAAGCGCTCCCGGCACAGGCAAAGATCCCACGCAAGCAACGATCCAAACAACGATCCTGCGTTTGTTTCTAAAAAGTTATAATTTTCATTTTGTTGTGTAAAAGAAGTCTTATAAAAAGGCTATTTCTTTCGAATTTGTTGTAATCGACTGAAGATATAATGAATTCCACAACGAGACCAACTTTTGACGCAAACAAGCTGGCGACCACAGTGTGAGCCAACGGTCTCGCTGCCGAGACCGTCGTGTCGCAGCCGATCAAGATTCTAGTTGAATCCATGGTTGAATACGAATTCGACCAAACCAAGTTTGAGGAATATCTCTCATCATCCTCTTCAAGATCTTCATTGTCTCGCAAGTACAAGAGGATCTCACAATTGAGGAAGACTTACATGCCAAAGAAGACACAAAATGAAGACTCTCGCCTGATTGTTGCTGAGAATTTTACTCGCAACACCTCTGCTCACAATGGCTCTTATCTAGTTAAAGAGTCATCGAATCAAAGCCCGCCGGCATTAACGAAAAGAGCTCGTCAGAGACAACGCCAACGCCGCGCTCGCCAAATGGCTAAGGCCTTGGAACAAACCGACGGAGTTCGTTATCATGTGGACTTAGAGTCGAGGAGGCATCGAGTGATTCAGTTGTCTCAATGACCAATCATTCATGTCTCTGCTAAGCTCACGACGGAGGAATGGACTATTGTCAAAAGGACTCGTTCGACCCTCAAAGAACGTATACAAAAACGTCGTGCAAACGCTGCTCAGGCCCGTGCTCTTTTACAACAAAGACGAGAAAGGAAGAAGAAAACGGTGACCAAAGAACCACCGAAACTCCGCCAAGTTTGGATTCCAAAGTCTGGACTTATGCAAAATCAGCATTCGGAGCCCGTTAAGATTCCATACTCGCAAGGGGGTGATTTTAAACGTGCGACTCCCGACATAACCTTGGATCGCTTAAAGACAAAAATAAATTGTCCTGAGAATGCCAACAAGGTTTTATACCCCCAGAAGAAGACGCATTCACCAAATGATATCGTCATACCTGGGAGGTCATGCCAACAGACGATACGATTTTTTGGCAATCATACCGATGAATCGTATTATCAAGTTGGGGTTGTGAATAATTTTCGAAAGAGAGTTATTCGAGAAATAAACTCTCATTGTTCCTGTGCGCGACTCGTTAAAGCAGCATTATCAGAATGTGACTGTTTCAAACGAGAAGCCATCCCACGAAGAGTCTCTGTATTGTCGAAGCCTAAACCGAGACATTTCCGCAAAAGAAAATCAGCTACCCAAGATGATGAATTCCCTGACTCAAATCCCGACTTTTCCCCGAGAAGAAAAGTCAATCCAAGAATTGCTCAAAGGATGTCTCGACTCCAATTAGGAGCCATCAGACGCAGAGATTACAAAAGAATGCAAGAAGGAATGTCCTCGGAGGATGAATTCTCGGACACTTGTTCTGCAATCGCTTCTGATGATACAATGTCTAGCACAGGACAAATCAGAGAAGTATTCACAATCACTGCTGATCAGTTCACTCAAATACTTCAGGAAGCTCTAGCCAAACAACGTGAAGAAATTAGAGCTGAAGTGAAGACAGAAATGAAGTTGGCTATCCAACAAATGAGAGAACTGTTAACTCAACAGCCTCAACCTCCTGAGTCCAATCAGCAACTTGAATCCAGCCACCACACTCGGAATGTTGTAGAGGACAGTGATCCAGAGGTGGATGAAGTCATTATGGCTGATACACCTCCCAATGACAATAACGCTGGGGGTGGTTTAACGGATCCTCCCAATAACGATATTGGGGGTGGTTCAATAGCACCTCTCACTGGGGGTGGTCCAATTATCTTTACTCGACATCATTCAGAAAGAAATGAAGACGATGACGGGAAAATGCAAAAACTTGAAGACAAAATCAATGCTTTGATGACGGCTCAAGAAGTTAAGAAGACGGGTATTCCATGTCCTTATCCGAGGGAATGGGATTCAATACCATACCCGACCAAATTCAATCTGATTAACTTCACACCGTTTGAAGGGAAGAGTTCGCCGATTCAACACTTGATTTATTTCAAGTCTCATTTGGGCATAATCTCTGGAAACGAGGCCTTAATGATCCGGTCATTCGTTGGCACCCTTCGTGGGCCCGCCTTCGATTGGTACCGACGGCTCAAGCCAGGGAGCATCAATTGCTGGGATGACATGGAAAGTTTGTTCCTCAGCAACTTCTTCGATGATGACACCGAAGTGTCAATCGGAATCCTTTTGGATGAGAAGCAAAAAGACGGAGAGTCAGTCGACAATTTTGTCAAGCGTTTCCGTAACATGGCGATGAATTGCAGAGATCCTATTACAGAGGAGTTCATCCTGCAAACATGTCACAATAACCTCTCCATCGATGTCCTGGAAGCTCTGGGGGTCGTGCCATCCACAACTTGGAAGGAGTTAAAATCTCGGGGTGAACAAGCTGAGCACTTTCTTAAAAGAAAGAAAGCTGAGAGAGGCCAACCAATGACATCTGCAATCGTTGAGAATGCGACTCTCGATCCGAGGTTTCAAAAGGAATATTCTTTCGAAGATGATGAAGCTCCAGCCATCTTGGAATACCTCCTCGCTAATGACAAAATCGAGCTACCACCTATTAAAGATCAGGATGGAGCTAAGAGGATTACGGATCCAAACTACTGTGCGTACCACAGAAGGGTTCTTCATCCCACTGAGATTTGCTTTGGACTCAAAAACAAGATCCAAGCCCTAATTGACTCCGGCGTCATAACGACGAAAGAAGTCGAGTAAAGACGACCATACAACTCCAGTGGGTGCACGAGTATAAACTGTTTCCCCACACTCCAAAGAGTATATGAGTATAAACTGCTTCTCGATTATCCAACTGAGTACAATTAGGGATAGCCCGATCATTACATACAAAGTGATAAACACTACATCCCCACGGTGATTTCTGAATACTCTTTTGCTGAGATGAGATTCGATCACCTCGTTAGATCAATCTTCCCTCACAAAACCCCATTTGGTCAAACCTTTAAACAGTTAGGACCAAAACCAAAATCTCCTCTCGATTCGTTCCATGAGAGAGGTCCACAAATTGAACGATCAAACCTTTAAACAGTTAGGATCGTCTCAAATTCCCTTTTGGTCAAACCTTTAAACAGTTAGGACCAAAACCAAAATCCCCTCTCGATTCCTTTCATGAACGAGATGTCCACAAATTGAACGATCAAACCTTTAAACAGTTAGGATCGTCTCAAATTCCCTTTTGGTCAAACCTTTAAACATTTAGGACCGAAGCCAAAATCCCCTCTCGATTCGTTCCATGAACGAGAGGTCCACAAATTGAACGATCAAACCTTTAAACAGTTAGGATCGTCTCAAATTCCCATCTTGGTCAAACCTTCAAACAGTTAGGACCAAAGCCAAAATCTCCTCTCGATTCGTTCCATGAACGAGAGGTCCACAAATTGAACGATCAATAAACAGTTAAGATCGTCTCAAAACTCCCACTTGGTCAAAACCTTACTACAGTTAGGACCACAACCAAAATCCCCTCTCGATTCCTTCCATGAACGAGAGGTCCACTTTTAGTTGAATAATCAAACCTTGTGACATTTAAGATTCTTTAAGTGGAGATCCCACTTCGAGTTTCCTTTGCACCAGGAGATAGAAAATAAAATTCTTCCTCTCCATTATCGGGTTCATCTCTACCAACAAACAAGAGACCAGGAGATAGAATATAAAATTCTTCCTCTCCAATTCCGGGTTCATCTCTACCAACAAACAAGAGACCAGGAGATAGAATATAAAATTCTTCCTCTCCAATTCCGGGTTCATCTCTACCAACAAACAAGAGACCAGGAGATAGAATATAAAATTCTTCCTCTCCATCATCGGGTTCATCTCTACCAACAAACAAGAGACCAGTAGATAGAATATAAAATTATTCTTTTCCATCATCGGGTTCATCTTTACTAACAAACAAGAGACCAGGAGATAGAATATAAAATTCTTCCTCTCCATCATCGGGTTCATCTCTACCAACAAAAAAGAGACCTGACTACCTCCCAACGGGAATATGAGGTTAAACTATTTCCCGAACACTCCGATGAGTATATGAGTATAAACTGCATCTCCCTGAACCTCCCAACAGTTCTAATTCGAGACTTCGACAACGGCCACGCGATAAACGCAGCACTGGAGGAATTTTAGCTATTCTACAAAGCACTGAATAGGCTAAAAGATGAAGAAGTCAAGGATTGAAGCCATTCACAAACCATTCTACGCAATTTCCTCAACAAAGCACTGGAGAAATTGCAGGGAGAGTTATCATATCCAAAGTGTCTCAGACCCCTCTCTAAAAAATGATGAGTCTGAGATACTTTGGAGGGGGTATCTGTAGACATCAAAAAATGCTTACAGACATTCAAACACCACTCAAGACGATATAGAAGAACAATATACACGTCATCAAGCAACATATGGCGGCGCGGCAGGACATGGTGCCGCGGCTAAGGCGCGGCAGACCAAGGTGCCGCGGCTAAGGCGCGGCAGACCAAGGTGCCGCGGCTAAGGCGCGGCAGACCAAGGTGCCGCGGCTAAGGCGCGGCAGACCAAGGTGTCGCGGCTAAGGCGCGATAGCACATAGTGCCGCGGCTAAATGCGCG